ACTCACTGTTACACCCACTCACTGTTACACCCACTGTTACACTCACTGTTACACTCACTCACTCACTGTTACACCCACTCACTGTTACACTCACTCACTGTTACACCCACTCACTGTTACACCCACTCACTGTTACACCCACTGTTACACTCACTGTTACACTCACTCACTCACTGTTACACCCACTCACTGTTACACCCACTCACTGTTACACTCACTCACTGTTACACCCACTCACTCACTGTTATACCCACTCACTGTTACACCCACTGTTACACTCACTGTTACACTCACTCACTGTAACACTCACTGTTACACCCACTCACTGTTACACTCACTCACTGTAACACTCACTGTTACACCGACTCACTCACTGTTACACTCACTCACTGTTACACCCACTCACTGTTATACTCACTCACTGTTACGCTCACTCACTGTTACACCCACTCACTCACTATTACACTCACTCACTGTTACACCGACTCACTCACTGTTACACTCACTCACTGTTACACCCACTCACTGTTACACTCACTGTTACACTCACTCACTGTTACACTCACTCACTGTTACACCCACTCACTGTTACACTCACTGTTACACTCACTCACTGTTACACTCACTGTTACACTCACTCACTGTTACACCGACTCACTCACTGTTACACTCACTTACTGTTACACCCACTCACTGTTACACTCACTGTTACACTCACTCACTGTTACACTCACTCACTGTTACACCCACTCACTGTTACACTCACTGTTACACTCACTGTTACACTCACTCACTGTTACACTCACTGTTACACTCACTCACTGTTACACCGACTCACTCACTGTTACACTCACTCACTGTTACACTCACTGTTACCCCCACTCACTGTTACACTCACTCACTGTAACACTCACTCACTGTTACACTCACTGTTACACTCACTGTTACACTCACTCACTGTTACACTCACTGTTACACTCACTCACTGTTACACTCACTGTTACACTCACTCACTGTTACACTCACTCACTGTTACACCCACTCACTCACTGTTACACCCACTCACTGTTACACTCACTCACTGTTACACCCACTCACTGTTACACCCGCTCACTGTTACACCCAATCACTGTTACACTCACTCACTGTTACACTCACTCACTGTTACACCCACTCACTGTTACACTCACTCACTGTTACACCCACTCACTCACTGTTACACCCACTCACTGTTACACCCACTCACTCACTCACTGTTACACCCACTCACTCACTGTTACACCCACTCACTGTTACACTCACTCACTGTTACACCCACTCACTGTTACACTCACTCACTGTTACACCCACTCACTGTTACACTCACTCACTGTTACACTCACTCACTGTTACACCCACTCACTCACTGTTACACTCACTCACTGTTACACCCACTCACTCACTGTTACACCCACTCACTGTTACACCCACTCACTGTTACACCCACTCACTGTTACACCCACTCACTGTTACACCCACTCACTCACTGTTACACTCACTCACTGTTACACCCACTCACTCACTGTTACACCCACTCACTGTTACACCCACTCACTCACTCACTGTTACACCCACTCACTCACTGTTACACCCACTCACTGTTACACTCACTCACTGTTACACCCACTCACTGTTACACTCACTGTTACATCCACTCACTCACTGTTACACCCACTCACTGTTACACCCACTCACTGTTACACTCACTCACTGTTACACCCACTCACTGTTACACCCGCTCACTGTTACACCCGCTCACTGTTACACCCACTCACTGTTACACTCACTGTTACACTCACTCACTGTTACACCCACTCACTGTTACACTCACTGTTACACTCACTCACTGTTACACTCACTCACTGTTACACCCACTCACTGTTACACCTACTCACTCACTGTTACACCCACTCACTGTTACACCCACTCACTGTTACACCCGCTCACTGTTACACCCGCTCACTGTTACACCCGCTCACTGTTACACCCGCTCACTGTTACACCCGCTCACTGTTACACCCGCTCACTGTTACACCCACTCACTGTTACACTCACTCACTGTTACACCCACTCACTGTTACACTCACTGTTACACCCACTCACTGTTACACTCACTCACTGTTACACTCACTCACTGTTACACTCACTGTTACACCCACTCACTGTTACACTCACTCACTCACTGTTACACCCACTCACTGTTACACTCACTCACTCACTGTTACACCCACTCACTGTTACACTCACTCACTGTTACACCCACTCACTCACTGTTACACCCACTCACTGTTACACCCACTCACTGTTACACCCACTCACTGTTACACTCACTCACTGTTACACCCACTCAC